TTCGTTGTTTACTTACCCGATTACCATACCACCTTCATGAAACCACTGCTGCAGATCACAGCAGAATCAAATTTCATTTTCTTATAGAATTAAGGTACGCCCTCCTCATGGATATAGCCTCTACGTTATCGTAAAGAAAATATTCTGATATTTGGTGATGAAACTAAATAGTTTTTCAAATTTATAGTTTAGTTACGCTTAAATTTAATCTTTAATATAGGTTTATAAGGGAGCGCATCAAATAAAGTCAGAGGATTTCTGGAGATCTTAACCGCTTAAAAAATGTAATGGCATACTAAATATATTAATTGTGTGTGGTGGGCAACGACTTGATAGTTAATATTGTCCTTGCTGACTAAATTTTGGGTTTTTGTTAAATTTAGTTCAGTGACAATTATGAAAATAGGCTGAAAGGAAAGGGTACTGAGTATACTCCTGAATCGCCTAATGTACTTTTTACGGGCATTACGCATGTTATGCGCTTTTACACATTAAGTGCAGGACATTTTGTTGCACTTTGCATATGCACCACTAATACTGTTTTTAGGTGACACATGTTCAGCGCATTTTTTGTTCGGTAATGCGCCTTAATTGCAAAATGTACTACTTTATGTGCGATAATAGCACTTTCTTCTCTGCTCGGGCCAGCAATATTTAACATTCAAAAACATTTTAAGGAATTCTCCAGACTACAGCTGTCACAGCTGCAATGCCCACCGGGCGCAGTCGACAGAGAAGACAGAGTCGAGACCGCCGGGCCGAGCCGAACTCCCGACCCCCGCTTCGGTCACTTCGGGTGGCTCCTATACAGCTCCCGTGTGCTCCTCCGTGAAATTCTAGCGGGCTCTCCGAGTTGCACTGTGTTATTGTGTTTACCCGGTGGGAGCTGCGTCTTGTTTTTCTGTCAATCGAGTCTTATACATTTTCAATGAACATTGCTTGTGAAGATAAAGTCAAAAATGTTTGAAGATGACGATGACTTTGAAATTGATGAGGTAAGAGGACAATAATGTATCTTGGTCAACTTTGCTCTCCAGTTAACCTGTAAACATGAGGGTTGACACAATTTTCTCCAAGGTCCACTAATTTTTTTCATTGTTCCTCTTGCAAAAGTTAGTCTTTTTGTTTTAGAGGGAAGTTTCCTTATTCGCATGCAGACTTAAATGGATATCTTTACTGACCAGTAACTTCTCTCTCCAGGAATTTTTGGATGGTGTCTTTGATGCAGAAAAAACAGCTACCAAAAGTGATGACACCTTTAACTCCACACTCAGCAGTCCAGAGAATGGCCCGGTTTGTGATTTGTCATCACCTTCGCGAAAAAGAAAAACCTTGTCACCACGCTCAACACCTCCAGAGCAACAGGTTAGTTCAGGAATCTTTGAGGCTCTACTAGATGGTTTGTCATTATCTGGGGATGCTAAACTTCTCTTTCTAGATAATGTCTCCTGCGCCTGTATTGCGAACAAGTGCAGAAAGTGCTCGACTCATTGCCCAAGCTCAACAGAGACAAGGACCGTCTGGAAGTAAGTCATCTGAAATACTTCAGCGAGAAGGCTCTCACCAGGCAAACCATAGAAATGACACATATTCAGAGATCAGTAGTCATGCAAATCAACCGAGTAATGGTACTTTTAAGTTACCACCTCAACCGTTTCAAAGGAAAAGCCCTTCAGAAAATTTTGAACCGAGAAGCACTGAAATCTCTTTTAATTTGAACACATCAAGAGTGAGACAGAGGAAATTTCCTGGCCCAGCTGGATTATTACCCGAAAGAGGACGAACTCATGGACAGGTAAGTGGAGTGCAAAGTAAGCATTGCTGAGAGCTTTTCTTTTCCTCTAACTTGTTTCATATATCTTACAGGGTCAGCGACCTAACTTTTCTTCACTTCTTGATGTATCTGGGAGTGATTTGGATGACTCTGAGGTCAGTTGCAACAATATTGAGTTAAATGGCGTCATGGTGGTTTATAAACTGATTTCTTGAAAAACTCTATTTTCTGTATCTTGCAGGAGCCCCTATCTTTATGTTCACAATCAACAGCTTCAGTCCTTGAAGATGGACCATGGTCAGCTCTTCAGGCTGACTTTTCTTCCGATGGCCAATGTTTATTAAGACGTTATACAGTTGCTTGGGTAAAACAGAGAGCAGCAGCAAAACAACTTGTTGGACAGAAAGTACCATTCCTTGCGGCTGTTCTACATAACATTGATTGCTCGTCGCCTGACCCTTGTGTTGTTCTTAGAGATTCAACTGGTAAGGCACCCAAGCACAATGAAGTTGAAGAAAAACACATCTGAAGTTGTTTTTTGTTTTCATGTGTTGTTTTTTTTTTTCTTCAGGAGAAATACCAGGTACTCTTCACCGATCTGTTTGGGATAGTTTTGGGGGTCAGCTTATAGCCGGCTCAGCACTAGTATTACGTTTTGTTGGTGTGCTGAGCACAGGCATCTCAGCCCGGCGTCATTATCTCAACATCACATCAAATAATATTGTAACCATTTATAGCTCTCCTCTTTGTGAACCATCCTTATCAGATACAACAAGTGAGTATTTTCAAAATTTTAACATTTTGAAATTGTGTTCTAGAAATTTTTCTGTTATTGTTGATTGTTCTTTTTTTTAAATCAGGAGTTCGAAAAACAGATGTTCATAAATGGACCCTTCATCAATTGATGCAAGCTACTAATAGTTGGGAAGAACAATGTAAAAGAAGAAAGAATCCTGCCGCTCAAACTTCATCTGCATCGAGAAATATGAACCCTAACTCCTCAGGCAACAGTAGCCCTCAGCAATTCTCTTTTAGACCTCCTGGACCAATTTCTAATAGGAGCAGCAGTGTAACTACTAACGCTGCAATTCCCTCTGCAACATCATTCTCAAAACCTTCAGTTGTAGTATCAGGTAACAGGGGGCCTCCTACTATGACCCACCCCAAGGTAGTTAGTATTCCAAACAATTCATCTGTGAGACCTCAGATATTAAATTCGAATATGGGTGCACCACAGAGACCATCTACATCATCTATGCCTCAGACAACTGTTCAAAGTACTGGCCCATTAAGACAGCAAAATCCAACTGCTGGTAACACTGCCACCAATATGCAGGGAAGGTTTGTCCCCAAAAGACCCTCATTATCTTCTCCGCAAGCTAGTTTAAATTCATCTGTTGATTTACAGAGTAGTCGAGATTTATTTTCAGACGCTGATGATATTGATATAAGTAGTGTGTTGGATGGCATTGACTCTGAATCTCTCTTTGGAGACTTTTAGTTTGTATGAACTTATGTTTTATTATTCTGAGGGAAATCTGTTTGCTTCAGATGCATCAGCAGTGATATGAGTAAGCATCTCTCTTGTTTGTGATTTTGTTACCTGGCTGGTTATGGAATATAGTTTTTTTTTTTTTACTCAAAACAATCATTTTGGTGGGTGCACATTAAAAACCCAAGTCCTGTAAACTGATGTTTTCTATTTGGTAGATTTTATTTATTATTTCTGTCTTTGGAAAAAAATTGATGTTCCACATTGTTTAAAGAATGGAAGTCCTTCTCAATTAAATAATACCAATGTTAGTATTTGTTGTCTATGTATATTTAATTTGCTCATGGCATTTATCAAACATGCATTCATGATAACAGCTATTTAAGTTGTCAGACTGACTTAGATAATATTACACCTTGCACAACATACATATAAAATACAAAATATAACATTTACATATCACATTCGGCTAATAATGTTTATCAAAACCTTCAAAGATGAGCACTCTTACTATATAGTACAACCAACCTTCACTGACTACAAACACTGGTAGGAAACTAAATATTTTATGAAATTGTCGCAAATGTAAGAGTGAAAAAAAAACTTTGTAAGGCTTACTGAAGTCCCTCCTCTGGTGATATTTCTTCATTTTAAGTTAAGTACCTCATCAATCAGGTATTTCTTCTCCACACAGAATGAGAAAGAGGGAATATGTCCCCGTTTAAAATTACAAAGTAGGACAACAGCATGCAGATCATCAAAAAGAATCATAGAAAGGGTCCATTATTTGAATAATCAATTTCTTTACGCAAGTGTTACGAACTTGACCTTATTCCTATCAGAGTATACTGATCAGAAAGTCTTAGACAAGAGAAAACCTTGTACCAAAAGTCTGAATATCTTGATGAACAAGTCTACACTAGTCACAGTATTGTAGACCAACAGAGGAGAAATGTTACACGATCTATGTTTTTCTCCTGCTAAAACTTTTAATATTAACATCTACATAACTATTTACAATGAAAAATAACAATGATGTAAAATATGGTAATTCCCTTAGAAAAAATCAAAAGTAAAGCTGCAGCTCTTTAAAAAAGATTATGTAAAAAACAGATAACATGGATGTTAAAATGAATAGCTTACATACTTCTTTTGACAGTTACTACAAAAACACAATAACCTTAGTTTTGTCTTTGTTTAACAATGTGACACAAATGACTACTACTATGAATATTGAGATATGCTATTACTTAGACGACACAGAATTCTTTTATAGTTGTTGTTGCCATACAACATCTACAGAAGAAAACCAGCATACAGTCACAGCCGTTAGACATACAACTTTCATAAAATTTGGTAAAGAAAACCAAACAGTACAGAAAGATATGAATTACACAGTACTGATGAATGAAATACTTAAAATATGCTCTGCAACAGAGGTGCATCTTCAGTCATTATGTTTTCCAATTTTTCAATAATAGTGCTATTAATCTAACTTAAATGGGTAAGAAATTACGTAAATAAGATTAATACAAAACCTAGAACAATGCAAAAGTATGCTCTTTCTTTGGTACAAACTTACAACAGGTATAAATATGACATTGAAGACTTAGTTAAAAAGCATAAAATTCATTACTTTGTATCTGTCAGATTGAGTGGTATGGCTACCTCAAACACTTGGTTTATTGTCACTTCTATTATGGCACTGATCCTAGCTAATACTATCCATTTAAGCAGCACATAATCTCTTGATATTCAAATGTATCCTGAGCAAGTTTGTGGAAAAAGTTTGAAGAGAATAGATTGTTTAATACATAACAAGTGAAAAATTTATGGCTTTTGTTCAAAATAATAAGTGGGTCTATCTTACATTCCAACTAATTTATCGATTACTGAGGCACACTCACAACACTCACATGGGTGTAATCACAGACCTTTTCACTCAACAAGAATTGTCATAGCAGCCATGACAGCTATGCCAGCCAATAATGAGGACATTTGCTTCAGGGATTCCCAAGAGTTCTTCTCCCTAATTAATTCAGGAAGAACAGTCACCAAAGCAATGTGAAGAAATCCGCCAGCGGTGAAAGGAAGAATCCATGATGTTTTGGCCTCTGTACAAAAAATTGAAACACATCAATAACTTCCATTTTCATTGTTATTTTTGAATGTAAAGAACAAATAACCGAATGATTACACTTACCGACTGAGCCTCCAGCCTCACTGAATGCTACAGCAACCATAGCACCCAAAAGGCCAGTGAAAGCTGTACAGAGTTGTGCCCATGCTGCCTCCCAGCGAGTAAACCCGGCTCGCAATAGAATGGCAAAATCGCCAACCTCATGGGGAATTTCATGGACAAGAATGGCTAGTGTGGACAGAGCTCCAACACGGAAAGAAATCAGAAAACTTCCACCCACAGCTAAACCATGAGTGAAATTGTCGATACTGTTTGCCATCAAGTTAAGGTAGCCTGACATCTAAAACAAAGGAAAAACCCAATAGTTATAGAAAGACATATATAGTTTAGGTAGGTGCCAGCAAACATTTAATATCAACATACCTGTTTGCCTCCAATTTTCTTTGCAGCTTTTTCGCTTTTAGGCGCTTTTACAGTTTCTAAATGAGACTTTGTAGCTGTGCCATTGGGAATATGTCCATTGGACAATTTAGCTTTTCCATTAGCCACTGGTACATTATTGTTGTTTTCAAGAGAAGTGCTTTTCTTCTGTGTCACAGCCAAAACAATAGGAACTTTGTCTTTTTCTGTTTCTCTCTTCTCCACCTCTTCCTCTTCCTCCTCTTCTTCATCGTCATCGTCAGATGGTGCAAATAATTTTTCAGCAATAACAAAGACAACCAGTCCAGTCAGAACCCAAGCTCCGACAGAAAATGAAGGATGAGAAGATTCTCCTCCTGAAACAATAAAAAAAATAAAAAATAAAACACTGCCCGCTATTTTTTTGTTTTTTTTTTTGTTTTTTTTTTTGTTTTTTTTTTTTAAAGTTGAATTGTACAGGTCACCATGATAACGTGCACACTCACTCACCCAACTTCTGCCGGCTGGCCCACGCCTCCGGCAGCAGGTGCAGGAACACGTCGCCGAGGAGGCCGCCCACCGCGAAGCTCAGCAGCACCTTGAGGGTGCGCGCGCCGGCTGCAACAGCAAAAAGGCACAACGTGAGGACCAGCAAACAACACACACTTGAGGACCTATGCAGTGCCAAGGGCCCGCCTGTTGGGGAGGTATGGTGCCCGGTGCCCGCGGTGCCCGGGCCTAGGGTAACCCACCGCCACTCAACACGACGACAGATCTCAATCCAATCTAAATTTACCGACGCTGGCAAGCGTGGTGCAGTAATTGCAACGGTGGAAGGGGCGGGGAGGCAGGTCCCCCGATCAGTTCGATCAGTTCACATCGCGCCGTTCAGTCAGCTGGGCGAGATCGGCGCCGCCTCGCCGCCCCCCGAGCCGCGTGCGTCCCCCACAGGACAGCATTGCCCGGCCCGCGCGGACCCGCCGCATTAGCCGACGGTCATTAGCCCTCCGCGGAAAGGGAAAGTCAATGAGCCGCAGCCCGGGGCGCGGCGGGCGGGTCGCGGGCGACGGCGGCGGCTGAGGAGCAGTTCGCCCCCGCCCACCAACCACCCCCCGGCGGCGGCAGGGCCCCGCAGGCCTCGCAGGCAGCCCCACCGGCACCCGCGCCGCGCCCCCGCCCGCCAAAAGGTAGGCAGGCGAGCCCTCGCCGCCCACCTCCTCCTCCTCCTCACCCCGGCACACTCTAAATGGGGAGGGACAATTTTTGTACCTTAGTTAGATGTGTCTTTGAGCACATCTTCATCAGATACAAATTTGTCTGTACAGAGGTACAAAGTGTACCTAGGCTAGGTACAAATGCTATATTTTGTATGTGACTTGGATGCAAATTTGCATTTGGTTTAGATGTGCTCAAAGACACATCCAGCCTACGTACAAAAATTGTCCCTCGCCATTTAGTGTGCAGGTGGGGTCAGCATCAGACCTGCCCCGTCATGCGTTGCCGAGGCCGCCGCCAGACACATTCGACACGATCCGGACGGGGTCAGGGCAGTGCCCCCCAGGGCCCCGGCAGGGCAGAGGCCTGCTGCACGCCCATCCATGAGGGCACCCTCCTCCTGACCGAGTAGCCATCATGCACCAAACTCCCACCTCCCCCCGCGCCCGGCCGCGCGCCCACGTTCAAGCGGCGTGCTACAAATGCAAGCACCTTATCTGCCCGAGCAGCAAATCATTGCTACATAGTGTTGCCTCGAGAGGGAAAAAGGAAAAATAAAAACGAAAACTCAGATACGATACGTGTCGCACCTTCTCGACACGACACGGAACCTAAATCGCGTAGGGGCGTTCGAGTGCTTGAGGCGGCCGGCACGTCACGCGTGTTTAGCATAATCAGCTCGAGGTGAAACAAACAAGTGCACCGCCTAACAGTATGTGATTCACCGCCAAGCAGGCAAACACCCACGCGCCGCCGAAAGAGCTTTCGAACAGTCGCTTGTTCACTATTCAACAACTACTATATATGCCCTTTCGTTTCCGCCATTGCAGATGGCGGCCGTCCCCGTGGGCCCGGCGGGCCAGGAGCTCATGAAGTCGGCCTTCATGTCCATCTACAAGATGAGCCACCAGCCCTTCGTCATGGTCGGGGCCGAGCCAGAGATCAGCCTCGAGGTGAGTCGTCTCCTGCTGCACCCTTCACGTGCTCGTCAAATCGCAATGACCGGTTCAGCAGTACCCCGCTAACGAGAAGGAGAGCTGGTGTGAGGGGTGAGGTTGAGGAAGAGGAGCAAGGGGGGATTTGCGAGGAGCAGCGTGGGGAGGAGGAGGCCCTAACCTGGCCACAGTTGGCCGCCTAGAGGGCCTCCTCGCGGGCCTGACCTCTCGCGGGGCAAAAGCCTCGGCAGAGCGGCCCCCTTTCATCCGCCCATTGAGCACGCCCGCCAGGACCGCTTCCGCTTCAACTTGGGGTGGAGGTGGGGGGGCAGACCTAGCCCGACGATAGGCCGGCCGGCGGGGAGGAGCCGTCTGTCCCCACGCCACGCCGTGGGAACGCCGCCCTCGTGGGCCTGAAGGGGGAGGCCGTCAAACACCACAGAGGGAGGCGGCCGACGAAGAACGAGAACGGCGTAGATGAGCGCGAGTGCGTGTGGGCGAGCGGAGAGGACGGCAGGTGTGCGTCCTGCCGCCGCACTAGAGAAGGCGTGCGCCAGGCCGATCCTGCAGCTGCTTAAGGATCCGCACGGGATCAGGGACCCGCCAGAGGCAGCCGCCACCGCCGCCGGCCGGCTGCTGCCCAGAGGAGCACCTTGTTGTCGTTGTGAATTCAAGGTTAACCCCTGGCCTGAAGGAGGGGGGGGGGGGGGGGCACGGCGGCTGCGTACCAACGGCTAGCGAATCAAGTGGAACCAGACAGGCCGTGCTGGAGCGAGCGGCCGACACGCCGCCGCGGCCGAGAGTGAGACGCGACGGCCAACAGTCATTTTGCGCAATATTCTCCATCCGATCGGATCCAATCCAATAAACTCGCCACAGCCAGCCCGCCTCGAAAGCAAACACAATAATTACGGTTGAATAAAGAAACGGGCCTGTTTAAAGTTCAGGCGTCCTCATACAAGAGGATATACGGATGTGATCTCGGAGAGTTGCAGGTGTTAACGCAGCTGCTGCTGCTCCATCCGATTCAGGAAAACACGCGATCATCGCGTGATCGCCGCACCGGTCCAAGCGGCGCGCCCCGCCCCGCCGAGAAAAGAAACAAGACCGTTTGTCTGCCGCGATACCCGGAAAAATCGTACAACACACACCATCCGTCCGTTTGCCGCCGCTCGGCCAAGGGGGAAGGCGGAGGTGGTGAGGGGGGAGGGGGAGATGAGCTGTCTCTGTCCCTCTCGGCGCAGCGCCGGGTGAGGGAGCGGGACGGGCAGAGACACAGAGACTGATAAGGCGGAGGTGTACACTGCAGGAGGGGAAGGGGATGAGGAGGGGCTTGCTAGCAGCAGCTGCCTGCAAGCCACGATCCGAAAGGCGACATGTTTTCCCCAGTTGTCTTATTATTTGCCTCCCCCTGTGCGCGCGTCTCACGGGCCGCGGGCACCACCGGCGCTGCTGTCTGTGCACAGCAGTAGTAGCCCGAGAGAGAGGAGCGTCTGCGGGGCCGAGCGCCTGTGGGGTAGGCAACGCGGGCACATCCGTGCGCTGCACGCCCGGGGTGCGCCTACCCACCGGGCGCTCCCGGCCCACGAGGGAGGCGGGCGCGGGGCGCGGCCGACTGGAGGTATGGGCGAAAATCTGAGGGAAAGGACAAGAACTTGGGAGACTATAGAGTCCTACAGTGGGATTCTAGGAGACTATAGTCTCTACTTGAACCAGGAATTGAGGCGTCGTATGTCAAGCCGCCTGCTATGGGCACCTCCCGGCGTAAACATCACCGCGTTGAACCACAGCCATAAATACGAGACGGCCCACTGCCGTCTCCAGGAAGGGTATGCCTACTGAAACAAGAAACCCCTGTCAAGAAGGCGACTCGAGTGGCCCAAACAACTGGGTCGGGCGACAGAGTCACCCAGCTGCCGGGCAAGGGCAGTGCACCCCCAGAGAGGGCTGCCCCGGGAGGTGCCCGCCCGAGCAAGAGTGCGGCGAGTACAAGCGGACCGCGCGGCGCCACAGGCCGCACTGCCGCATGCATCATGCAGAACAGATAGGCTCTGCACGGGGTGCAAAGTTCAGGCGGTGGCGGCGGCTTGCAGCGCAGAGCTCGCCGATAACAAAGGCCCTGCGTGTGTGCGGCGGGCCCGGGCGGCGTGGCGTGGCGGGGCGTGGCGGGGCGTGGCGGGGGCGGGCTATCGCCATCATCGGGACGCAGGGGGCAGCAGTGCCGCCTCATCGCATTGGCTCGGCAGCAGCCACTCCAGAACCAGACGAGAAAGTGTCAACACTGCAGCAAAGAGTACTACAAACAGATCGGCGCGCGCGGAGCCGCGGCCGCGGCCCGACGGGCGCGGGCGGCGTGGCTGAGGCGCGGAGGGGCGCGTTAATTTAAACTTCACGAGCACAAGACTATGCATGTGCCTCGCGAGGCCTCGAGTAGCCGCCGATGAAACCTTTGGGGGCCTTGGGGTGAACAAAGACGGAAATGTCCCCCATGTTGCCGCGCGGGCGCGGTCTGTACCCCCCGGGCAGGCACCTCCACCTCTCCGATAACCCCAGCAGAACCCCCAACGACGACCGTCTCGCTCGCTGCTGCTGCTGCTGCTGCCTGAGCATTTAGCGCGCGGGACATGACATGGCGGCCACAGGACACGCCCTGCTGCCTGCTGCACCCCTCCCGCGCTCGGCTCGCGTCCGACTGTCATCTGTCATCCTATGCCGTTTGCTCTCCTCTTCTGGCCACCGTCGCCGTCGGCAGCCTCTCTGTCGGCATGCAGACCTGTTGCGCAACCTCAGCCGCCCGCATACACGAGGCTCATCGGGCTGACAAAAGGAATACGCAGAGCGTCGAAGCGATAAAAGCCCCCCCCCCCCCTCACTCCTCCTTTCCCTTACCCTGCTCCAGTGCGACGCAGCAGACCGCGGCGGATGACACACGGACAAAAACAGCTTTTGTTCTGCGAATTTTTATTTCGCCACCACCACAGGCATCCTGATCATGTGTGTGCCTTTTAAATGTTGTTTTATTCTCGCTCGCTGGCTGCTGGAGTGGCAGTACTAGCACCCCCCCCCCCCTCCCCTCTGCCGCCCGTCCGCGTACACAACTTTTTATTTTGGCTTGGGGGGGGGGGGGCGAAAATCACGAAACGATCGCCATAATTTTCCAGCAGGCGACGACGGGGCACTTCCCCGGGCACGGCGGCGTCGTCGCCGATGCGCTCGTCGGTGGCGCGACGGCAGGCGATAGGCAGGCGACGCTCTTCCGGGAAATCAAAGAGCCAAAGCAGTTTAGTGCGGCACTCACGCTCCAGCTGATTGGTGCGCAGCCGCGACCATAACCAGCAGCATTACCATATAATCACCAGCGAACGACACTTCCAGGCGGATAGCTATCTTGTCAAAGACAAACTCTCTAGAGAGTTATGAGTGTATATAGTGGAGCTTGTCCTCAACCAATCCGCGCGGGTGCGGCAGAACCGGCAGAGCACACAGAGTTGGCAACGCTGCTGGACCTCCCCGCCCCGCCCCCCGTGTCCCCCTCGCCAAAGAGAAGCCAAGCAGCAGCCCATGAGCTCAGAGCAGCCATGGGCCGGCATGAGAGTATAGCCTTGGTGGAGCCCCTCCCTTCGGGGGAGAGAGAGAAGAGAGGGGAGGGGGGGGGGCTTCCGAGAACGGGCGTCGTCGGGTATGCCAAACACTAGACCAGGTCGGCAAACGGCGGCGGCTCGTTCGACCGGCGAGTATGTAGTATATATAATGACCAATCGACCGGCCAAATCAAATCGATCGCGCGTGGGAAATGGGAATAGTTTGTCGCCCGCTCACCGCGATCACGCAAGTCGAGTGGCCGCTCGACGCACGGACCTGTTACGTTGTCACAAAAGTAGCGCCGCGACGACGTCCCTCCTCCTCCTCTTTGGTTTATCGGGCGCGACCGCGAAGAAGAAGTATCGGCGCAGGAGGAAGTGCAGGCGGCGGCGGGGGTTGTGTGCAGGCGTTGCAGGCCGCCCGCCGCCGCCACCACTGCCTGGCACCACGTGTCGCGCGCTGGGCGGACTGTACCCAGCGGGCTTACGGACCACGCCGGGATCAGGACTTGATTGATGGGCCCTCCTTCCGATAAGCAAAAGGAGTCCCCGACGCGGGCGGCGGCGGCACAGCTACCACACAGCCCCGGCGACAGAGCCCCGCCCCAGGCCCCACAGGGACGAGGACGAGTCGGTGCACCGCAACGGGGATGAGTCGTTAGAGTTTGCAGTCGGTCGCGGCCACAACCCCGCGGCGCGCTTACCCGACAGTCTTCTGTCCCTCTCACTCATATAGCTGACGTGAGATGGGAGTGAGAGAGACGGGAGACTGTCGGGGAGGCTCGCCGGAGTAGCGTCCGACCGACTGCATCCTCTTGATCGCCTTCGCGACCTGAGCAGGGCACTACCGCCGACGGATCGGGCCAGCCAGCCGGCCAGCTGGCTCTGCCGCTTACGGTGAAGTGATGATAAGCCCTATGGAGATTGCCGTGCGCGCCGCTACGCAGACTCCCTTTTGCCCGTCCTCTCTATACTTTTCCACCCGCCGCCCTGGACCACCCCACAGACTCCCCTGGACCAAACAGACGCTGCACTACACTACACACGCACCCGGGCGCATTCCTCCTGCCGCTGCGCCGCGCCGCCGGCCGGTGGGTCACGCCACGCCACGCCTCGCTCACACAGACCGGTTATATGTGTATCAAAGCCTTTTTTGGTCCCCGACGACGACGACCCGACCTACTCATACACCGTTCGAAGGAGAGAGGGGGCAACAACAAAAAAACGCGTCTAGACCAAAACAATCGCAGTAAATTGTCCTCGTTGGCACTCCCCACAGCCTGTGTGCCGCCGGTTCCGCCCCCTGGCCTTCCCTCCCCCCGCGCCGCCGCGGGTCGATACGGCCGATACGACCCCAACCTGCGCCACGCAACCCCCTCGGCTGCACGCGCCCTCGACAGCACGGAGGATCGGAACGGAATAACCTTCAATTCTTCTCGAAAGAATGAGGCCGGCCACACACGATCGACCAAACGTATCGCCTCCTCCGGAGGACGTATGCACGACGTCATCCTCCACTTAGGCCCCGCAGCAGCACCACCTGCGCCCCGGCGGGTCCCCGCCCCGCCCACGCGTCGGGCGGGGCGTAAGTGAATCGCGTGACGTCAGGCCTTATCACCCCCTGGCAGCAGCGAGTACCGCTGGAGGCACCCCCCACCCCCCTCACTTCCCCACAAATCCAATTCCCACCCGACGCCCACTCCGCGCGGCCATGCAGTGAGCCGTGCAAACCGAACGACTGAGGACCGAAAGGCAGACTTAGACTGAGTTATTGTGACCATCTTGTATAAACCCAAAACAATGTGTATCACAAGTGACTCAACTTGCCCAACAACGTCCTCCGTTTCAGTTTGGAGAGGATAGAAAAATACAAGTCGGACTAATGTTGGGCAATGTGCTGAGGGGGCAGAAAAAAAATGGCAAGACTGTTGCAACTAAAGCCTCAGACAAAGTCAAATGTTACTTCAAAAACAACCGGAGAAAAAATTGGGAGGACTCTTTTATCTGGATGATGGATGTGATTCAGATAGTATGTCCGTTCTCCTTGCAAATCCCTGTCACAGTTTAAGTAAGGATTAAGTGCTTGACACATTATCAGAGAAGTCAGTGGCTACATATTACTTGGTGTTTCAATGTGGATTGACAAACACAGACAGGATAATTAATACGGAATAAAAATAAATGACGTGATTCTCTTACATTTGCAGTACTCATTATAACATTGAAACTCAATGTTCGCGGAATATTGCCGAAGCAGTTGTCATGCCTCATAGTGGTTAGGAACAAGATATGCAGGCAAAAAATAAGTCAGTAATAATAAAAATATTGACAAAAGATCAATTTTAAATTAGATTAAGAAAGGACAATATCTGGAAATTAGGAATGTGACATCAGTTAAATGAGGAAAAAAGAGAGTATTGGTGTGGTTGATTTGGTCGAGGACCATAAAAACATCATTTCTTTTTAGTTTCAAAGGGCCTACAAAGGGCTAGGGAGCTTCTAGAACGTTTCATAACATTTTACTGGTTCAACGAAACAAGAGAGAAAGTCCAATAGGTGTGGGTTCAGAATCCTTCGCCACCCTTAAATCCTGAAGAAACGTCCCGTTCGCCGTCAATCACGACGTCACAATGACTTTTAAGACCAAAACAAACTGACGAAAACAAGCAGCCGAGCAGGAGCGCGTCGCTGACCAGATGAGGTTATGTTACCCCTACCCACCTCCGTGCTTCATGCTGACTCCAGAGTCGATGGGGATGACGAGCAGGGGCAGGATGCCGCTGAGGCCCACGACGACCGACCCGATGGCCGACAGGATCCAAGGGTGGTACTCCATCTGGGGCAGCAGGCTTGTCACCTCCTGGAGCACCCGCCTGTACACAGTGTCGGGCACTGTCACATTGTCCCAGGGCGAGCTGAGGGACATGCAGTCCTCGGCCAAGTCCATCGCGGTGCACATCATGTTCTACAGAGTCTCGTTCAGTTTTCAGGGGTCGACACGGCCCGACAGCGACCCACAGTCACCCGCCACAGTCACAGTCACACGGTCACAGCATGAATCGCACGAGGAACGGGTTGAGACGCCGCAGGATGAGACGAGGACAGCAAAACGGCCGCGAAGGGACTCGACTGCTCTACACTCCAACGTCGAGGAGAACACACTGATTCTGCCCCGGATGGAGGTATGCAGCTCCCCTCTACACTCCTATCGCCACAATCGACTGCAATCTAGACTGGGATCAATCGCGGGTGCTTATCCATCGGGCATTCAAGTGCGCCAAGCGACGCGGCCAGAGCTGAGTCGAGTCCTGAAGCAGCACAGTTCACGCGAGACGCAGGAGGCGGAGGGTTCGGGCCCGTGCGCGGAGTTCAGCCAGACTGCCTACAGCTTTGTTTACAGTCTCGGGCTCGGGCCTCGGCGTGCGCGCGCGCGCCGTGAGCCCCCCTCTTCCCTCATCCCCTCTCCTCTCCTCCGCCCGCCCGCCGCGCCCCTTCCCTCCCCCTCCC